AGTCGCCAAATGTCGACCCACCCAATATAATAAGTGTGGGAGAGCCATGCTTCGCCACGAATGGGCCGGCTCGACCGGAGTGATACCATAGCGGAGCCTCACAGAAAACCGACGTGAAGCAACGCTTGCGTTGTGTTTTGTCGTGAGTGAGGTTATCGTAGGCCCCAATTTCTTTCCCCGATTCCTGAATTCCCAACGATCCTCCAACTCCTAATCCTCAAAAGGCCGGTAACGCACTTGTAACGCCTCTGGTGTTCCAGCTGTCCATGGGCGACGGCGATTGCTTACCATCAGGTGCATACCATCCTATAAAAAATGAAACCTAATAACTATGACTCGTTAATGAAGATTAGTTTTACACAAAAATTGTTACAATTTAGATACAAAATACACCACACACAAATGAAACACTATTTCTGCTTAAAATTTTGACAAGTTTCAGCGTGATGAGGGTAGCGCGTAATGCCGGCAACAGTTACGGGGCGTCGGTAATTTTTCATTAAAATTGAAAACTTTAGGAAACATAGCTGAAAGTGAATAATTTTTAAATTAAATTTTGAGTGGTTTTCTTTTTTTTTGGTGTGGTTTGTGTGTACACTATGTGTAAATAATCGTTGTTAAATTATACCTATAAATAACCAACATTTTCATTAAATACACCTGCATTTTCACTGTTTTATTTATAGGTCACTATAGACTGCCTCGTTGGCCGAGTGGTCGCAAATGTGACTGCCGGGCAAGGGGTCTCGAGTTCGATTCCCGAGTCGGGCAAAATATTACTGGGTTTTTAAAAAAAGCTCAGTAGTAGCACGGAGTCTGGAAATGTGTCCGGTATATGGCAATAAGCTCACCCCCTGTTACATGGGACTCATAACATATGTACAGTGGCAGTAAGTGCCGTAATGTACAACCTCTGCCAGCCCCTACAGCGATAAAAGGCGTGATATTATGTTATGTTATGTTATTATGTGAAATTTGACAGAAACCGGGCAGCAACTGTCTCTGACACACTTGAATCTCCATACCTCCTGCTAATCTTGAAGATAATAACAAACCTTCTTGTGCAGAGCAGGTCCAGTAGAGGCCTGTCACGGGATATTAACCCGTAAATCCCCAAGTGGTCACCGGTGACCGCTCTCCACAAACTACATTATAGACCTTATATCCAATGTTTAGAGACAACTTTTTTATGAACAAATTTAGGGAATGAATTTCAACGGGTGGTTGTTACAAAATCTCACAGGTGTACATTCCGAAGGTAAAATTCCAATTGATTTTCTTTTTTTTGTCAATGTTTGTTTTCCACAGATATGAATTCAAAGTTATCACTACATTTATGTAGGTTAAAAACTAAGATACGCTCCTTGCAAAGATAACTCTAATATTTCGTTCGATTACGAAACTAAGTTTTCAATGCTGCATCCGTTGGTATTGATAAGATTTTCGTGAGATTTCATACAAATGATAAATATGTTTTGTTATAAAAATACTAGCTTTTACCCGCGGCTTCGCTCGCATCACAAAAGTATAAAATGTAGCCTATGTGACATATACAAATACACACAGCGCCATCTATATACCAATACTTTTGTTTTTCCTCGGTAATATTAATTTTTCCGGGTTAAAAAGTACCCTATTATTTAATCCAGACTTCTAACTTTACGTCTGCAAAAATTGAAAGCAATCGGTTGGGTAGTTACGGCGTGAAGGTGGAACAAACAAACAAACAAACAAACTCACTTTCAGATTTATAATATTAATAAGTAAGGATTGACCAGTATATCGTTATTTTAATTAATCATAACACCTAGGTAGTTAGTTCTGTTAAATAGATAATAGGGTAGTTTCCTAAATTTTATTTTAATGTCCGTCTGGTACATTAATTTAAAACTTAAGACACGTAATTTTTCTTTTCTTACAAAATTAAATATTTTCGACGATATATTAATTTGAAATATCGTGTGACGTCACAGCGTACCACATTTTGTATCACGTTATGACGTAACAACCTCCCTCTCCTAAACTTAACGCCATCTAACTGACGGACTAATTAGATTTTTAATTGTGATACCCTGAAAACTACCCAATTATATTGTATATATTATAACTTTCGTGAGACATACTAAATTATTTATTATGTTTTCGGATTACTCACGTGACTGTGTGACAAGGGACTCGACTAGTTTCAAGCCATGCTAGAGGCTCATATTCTACTGCCAGTAGCAGCGCGTCAATACGTTTGTGTTGGCAATCAATATTTCTTTGTTAGTTTGTTAACTTGAGGTTTCCAATAATTTTGTAACAATTTATCTAATCGTTCTAATTACTTTTTTCTTAAAGTTTGCCGTTGTATTTTTCTTCTTAACTCTTTGAGTACCGTTATTATAGACACAACTAAAGAACAATAGGTTGCGGTCACCGGTGTCCTCGCGGTGTTTGACATTTTAAAACATAAGTTTTCATCTGGTTTCTAATAAAAATGTTTCATTTATTGTTAAGTGATTGTAATTATCAATTGCATGGATTTATTTGTCTTGGATTGGATCTTCGTGTTGAAAATATTATAAAGTGATTTTATTTAAGGATTGTTTTATTGTAATAGAACTACATATTATTTACAAAGATATGAATATGTACGTTATTTAAGTACTTTATCTATATACGTACTTTGTACTTTTAGGAGTTATGTTATTCCTGTCTACAAGTAATAGCCATAAACAAATACATTTAGGTATTAAACAACCAAACACATTATCACAGTCTAACTTTGCTCGCAAAATCTCAACTCGTTTGGTACATTATCGTCAAAAACTTTCATCCTATACATAATTCTTGCTTATCCAGCTAGCAGAATAAATACTTCCTAAACGACATAGCTGAAAGTATTTCCTCACGTCCGTATATTCGTATATGTATAATAGCATTTTTACACGGGAAAAAGTCCCATTAAATATCATGTAATGGGGTTTGTTCTTTGTTTTTGTTGAATAAACCTTTCTTCTGTTGCCATTACTGTTATTTAGAGTTAGGTCATCTATGGGTTGGGATGGGATGGGGCGGAATAGAGCTGATGCCGATTCAGAGTCGCGGAGAACCTAACGGGTTACCGGGGCTCCGGCTCGAAGTGCAGGAGAAGAAACGGGGTGGTTTTTTTTCAGTAAGAGTCTGACACCGCCTAGCCTAGGCGGGAGATGTCATTCGATGATTTTCCCCCCCTTAAAAAAAAGAGTTTTTTTTAAGTAGGTAAATCATCAATATTTTTTTTTTGTTCTAGGTATTGTGAAACTAGATATTTTATAAACAATGTTGATTTTAACCTAGGGAATTTTATTTTAACATTCTCTGTGATATCAGGAAATCACAATAATATATTTTTTCGAAAATCTCTGAATACCTTTATTTTATGGTACAAGCCAGTAAACAAGCACCTGATGGTAAGCAATCGGCGCCGCCCATGGATGTCAACATCAGAGGCGTTACAAGTTCGTTACCGACCTTTTGGGAATTGAGAATTTGAGGTCATTCTGGCTAGTCCGCAATAAATCTGAATATGTACGTATCTAACTGGAAATTGGGAATTCTAGAGTGAAGAATATGGCACGTACTCTATGTAAAATATCAATAACTTAAAGGGGTAAAACTTAGTATTGGTTTCAATAGTACCTACATATATGTGGAAAAGGACCGAAGAATGAAAAAATATTGCAAGGGATTCATATTATATATTCTATTAGCTCGCCCCTTATTGCGACTTGACTCTAACAAAGTTACAGTAACTGTGAAATATTTGACTATATAATAAATGTACATTTGCCTACATCTCCCAAGAAATAACAGACAAAACATTTCCTAATATTTGAATAACCATTTCATATGAAAATCGTTCTACCGACGGCAACGAGGAAATTTTGAAACCGACTTCCCGGTTTTCATTTATTGTTAAATGCAAATATAATTTAGTCGCCTAATATGAGCAGACCCGTGGCATAATTAATGCAAATACTATTAATATATACAAACCCGTTTCTGCCAAGTACCGTTGTTATAATAGGGAGGTATGGGATTGGTGTTGAGGTAACGTCGATATATGAGCGTTGAAGGAACATTAGGAATTTTGTGCTGTTTTAATCTAATCACAATTTTATAATATCGCCTTTTTTATGAAGGAGCAGTCAGATATAGATTTGCAGTACATTTCATCATAACAAGAAAGAAGAGACCTCTCTTAACACTGATCCCACGTCCCGTGCTATCACTGAAGTTTGTTTAAAATTACGTAAAATCAACTATGTTTTACACAATCTGGCAATCGAACCCAGCAAACCTAGCAACTCAACCATAAAAAAATTACAAAGTCCTTTAATATTCAAGTAAAACAATTTTTAATTATGTATTATGCTTTTGGCTTACTCACGTAACGATTTGACAAAGAACTCGACTAGTTTCACTCGCGGAATGCTGCTCATGAATATGAACCTCTAGCATGGCTTGAAACTAGTCGAGTCGTCACACAGTTACGTGAGAAAGCCGAAAAACATAATGATTAATCCTTACTAATATTATAAATCTGAAAGTGAGTTTGTTTGTTTGTTCCACCTTCACGCCGTAACTACTCAACCGGTTGCTTTGAAATTTGCAGACGTAAAGTTAGAAGTCCGGATTAAATAATAGGGTACTTTTTAACCCAGAAAAAAATTGATATTCCCGAGGAAAAACAAAAGTATTGGTATAGATCGCGTGTGTATTGGTAGATATATGTCACATAGGCTACTTTTTATTCTTTTGTGACGCGAGCGAAGCCGCGGGTAAAAGCTAGTTTAGTATATTACGAAAGTTAAACATAAAATAATTTTGTATGAAACCGCCTTATCAGGTCTTAAAACTTAGACGGTCAAAATATTTCGTGTAATCTCCCTTATCGATGATAAATCTCAATGGCCTGTCAACCTGATCAGATGATTCAGTAGTCAATCGTGCACCGTCAGTTTTCGTTAGTCAAAATGTTGCAAAACTGGTTTATTCTGTTGCTTGCAGTGACTTCTGTGCTGTGCTTCCCAAATTGGTTTGAAACGAAGAAATTCAAGGTGGGGATTGAATATGAAAGTGAGTAATAGTTTATATATTACGCTATGCCAATCTGTCGCAATCAACTATTATATAAATATTACAAAACTGCCTTGTTGACCGAGTGGTCGCAAGTGCGACTGCTGGGCAAGGGGGTCTCGGGTTCGATTCCCGGGTCGGGCAAATTATTACTGGGTTTTTAAAAAAAATCTCAGTGGTAGTACGGAGTCTGGAATTGTGCCCAGTATATGGCATTAGGCTTACAACCACATGGGACTCATAACATAAATAGTGAAAAGTGGATGTTACATTGTGCAGTGGCATAATGTACACCTCTGCCTACCCCTTCAGGGATAAAAGGCGTGATGTTATGTTATGTATGTATTACAAAAATTATTGTGCATGTGTATACGGCATAAAGGGGTCAGCTAAGCTAAAGCGGTCGTTCGTCGTAAAGCCGTGCCTTACAGAAACCTATGGGAGACAACGATATTCCGTCTGCGTGATTACCAGGAAGGAAGAAGAAAAGTAGCACAGTTTTGAATATTATTAAAAAGATTCTATATAAACCCGAGGCATAATTTCCGACCTTGGAATTCAAATGATAGTTTTTAGTAATAAAACTCATCCAATGAAATAAATAATGCTGTCATTTTTTGTGTTGGCAAATATCCCTTTGTCCATTAAAGTGTTATAAAATCGATACAACCAGATTCAGTAACAATACCTTACTGGGAAAATTCTGGTAGCATTTAAATTAGATAAGTTCCTTGTTTATTATTTTAAAATTCTGTCCCTAATATCCAGTCAACTATGTAAATGAGATTGATAGCATATATTGTGTCTATAGTTCATCAATAGCCCTTAAGTGGCCATGGCTGACCAAAGGCTCTTCTCACACGGAGAAGGATTGAGCATTAACCACCACGTTTGCTCAATGCGGGTTCGCTATTTCAAAATTTTAATTAGAAATTATAAACCCAAGTTTCCTCACGATGCTTTCCTTCAGGGTTTTTTTGTCTAAATAATCTTTGGCAGTGGTGTCTAAGTAATCTTAGAAAGTACATACATATAATAACTCGGAAAAAAGTCACATTGGTATTTGCCGTTGGTAGGTTTCGAATCCTCACTCTCATGCACGAGAAGCGGGCGTCTTAAACCTCCGGATCACCACGACATTTTTTTATATCGGTATTTTGTCCCCAGATTCCCTACCAATGAAAGGAGGTTCAGACAGGTATCGGCACAGGAACAACTATGACCCTTTCTTCGTCACCGTTCATGCTGAATCCAAGGTCAGTATCGAAGGTCCCTAATAGTCCCTATCTTTGATCTTGACACTTTGTTTGTTTTTTGCGAAGTATTTGGTCGTAGGTTAGGTTAGGTTAGTCATTTAGCTACTCATACACACATAATTTTCTACAGCTATATTATTGGTACCACAGAACATATAAAGAAGGTGGTACCCATAACCAATACATCCTTACTAATATTATAAATCGGAAAGTGAGTTTGTTTGTTTGCTTGTTCCCACTTCACGCCGTAACTACTAAACCGATTGCATTGAATTTTTGCAGTTAAGAAAGTTAGTAGTCTGGATAATATAATAGGGTACTTTTTATTTGATATTCCCGAGGGAAAACAAAAGTATTGGTATAGATGGCGCTGTATGTACTGGTATATGTCACATAGGCTATTTTTTATACTTTTGTGACGCGAGCAAAGCCGCGGGTAAAAGCTAGTATGCTCTAAAATAACATGCTAAAAGACGTAGTATTGAGCATGCTCAAAAATGTTCAAAAAGCGAACGCCTGTCGATTCATAAGAGGTACGTTTATGAACATGCTAATTTTGAACAATATTCCGACACACATGCTGCTTAGTGACAACTCAATTGAAGCATGCTTTCGTATTTAGAATTATAGGTACCTAAGGCATTGCGAATTTGTATATCGGGTATTATACTTGAGAATTTGGACTATACCGCACGCTTGATATAGCGTAGACCAAGTGGCAATCTTTTAAGAATTCGCGTACACACGTAATTATTTGACGAGGAACTCGACTAGTTTCGGCAGTAGCGGCACGACATTAGTAGAACTCATCTACTTTCCTCGTCAAATAATTACGTGAGTAGGTAAGCCGAAAAACATAATAATTAATTGAGAATATCTCAGGAAAGTTGTAACCACTAAGGCACCACTAAAATCCACAGAAAGGCTTCGTGATCACATACCTGCAAGTGACAGCAACAGTTGACTTCGGAGGGCAAGTAGACTTCAAAGTGATCCAAGGTCAAACTGGATCCAGAACCATGATCTTCCAGCTGGTCTCCAACCATACAGATTTCCTCTCATACTCATATCTGACTTACGGGATTCGAGAAGACGAGTATAAAAAGGTGATGTTAGCCTCGTTTAACTAAAATTAGGTTAGTAATGAAATAATAGTGAAGTTTTTAATGTATTTTATTTGACCCAGAATGTGATGTGGGTGAATGAGGTGATGAATTAAAATAATGTTGTAAAAGGACCCAATTATGACTGTTGACAAATACCGATTCATTGAAAACAAGTTCAACTTTAGGACAATAATATAATTACCAATTTTTTCAATCTATTACCATTGATAGTGATTCCATTGCTAATCTAGGTATCCAAAAACAATTGAACTTATAAACAACGCCATCTATTGAACTATACATGCATCGAATGTAACGCATTTGAATGGAACCCTGTGGTAATTTCGGTGTTCGAGTATAGATGGCGCTAAACTAAAATAATTTTAATTATTTCAGATGGCGAACATCATCACGCTTCCACGACCGACGAATAAAGGGACAATGCTACAAACTACTGGATTTAGTATAGTTACATTATTATCTTTAATTATGTGTTTGTTATAATATTAAGACAAAAATTATGGTTCCCTATTAATTCGCTTCACTTTTTTCCATAATATTACAATCAAATTATTCTGTTGATACCTCTAAAACACGTATGCATACTTTCATTAGAATACAAAACAAACCTCCTATTAGTCTTACCGTATAAGGAGGATTATCGCAAAAAAACATATGATGCAATTGCAAAAGACCTAAAATAGGTAATTTTAGGACAAAAAACTTTAAGCCAGTTGCTGATCTAGAGCTAAGCTACTTATTTTATCTACACATAACATAACTTCACGTCTTTTATTCCCGAAGGGGTAGGCCACAGAAGTAACACCCACTTTTCACTATTTATGTTATGAGTCCCATGTAATAGGGGGTGTGCCTATTGCCTTATACCGGGCACAATCCAGACTTCGTGCTTCTACTGAGATTTTTTTTAAAAACCCAGTAATACTTTGCCCGACCCGGGAACTGAACCCGAGACCCCTTGCCCGACAGTTAGTAATAACTTAGTTTATCTATTAAGTTTATTACTTAGTTTAGTCCGCTTAGCCGATACAGCTCCTATAACTATTTTTTAACCCACAGCTTTTCGCATAGGTAGTTTGCGGTTTGCACATAAGTGCGAACTACGCTATTATAACTGGCTCTTGCTCTTGGTCTACAACCCACATTAAGCGAAGTGATACCAAGGGAACTTATAAATAATATTTCGTTCGTATTCGTTTAAGTCTTAATAAATTTATACTTAGATATTAAGGAAAATGTTTGTTAAGTAAATATTTTATCAACATATTATAATAATTTCAATGACATTAAATTGGTTTAATTTTGAACCCTTTCCCATATTTTTTAGAACAGATCTTAGTAGATCGAATTTAACTGGTTAACTTGCAGACGTAATTACTTCATACTTCTGAACAGTGTAAATTGTGTAGTTTCCAGGGTACCAAAATAAAAAATCTAATTAGTCCGTCAGTTAGACAATGAAAAAATATTAGACACGTATTTTTTTATTTTCTCGTATTAAGTTGCAATACTTAGATAAAATGGCGCTAAGTTTAGGAGTGGGAGGTTGTTACGTCATAACGTGCTACAAAATGTGGCACGCTGTATCGTCATACGATATTTTAAATTAATATATCGTCGAAAATATTTAATTTTGTGAGAAAACAAAATTGTGTCTAAAGTTTTCAATGAATGTACCAGACGGACATTGAAATAAAAGGAAACTACCCTATTAGCGTGGGCGTCGTACACCCACGTCATTTAGTTTACTTTTAGCTTTATTAGTTACGCGCTGCGATGATGAATCAAACTGCTATAATACATAGATTTAATTTAATCATTAAATATAATAATATATTTTTAAATAGACATCACTTAAAATAGCAAGAACATACTAGTTTTGTTTCTTCTTGGTTAAAATATACACTTGGACTTTATCACCTTAAATGCCACGTCGTCGCTATCTGACGCGATTAGCAGAGGATTTGCCTTCAACGGTTCTGAAAAATCATGCAGTTTTTGCATAAGGCCTTGTTTACGTCGCGTCGCATTATTTGACAATGCATCTTGCTTACAAACAAGAAAAACTGATCACAAAGTGGCAACATTTAAAGCGTCGGGGACAGAAGGCCTTATTAATTTATTAAAATACTAGCTACTTCCGCGCGGTTTCACTCGCTCTGATCAGCTCCTTTGGTCATAGCGTGATGTCTTTTAGCCTATAGCCATCCTCGATAAATGCGCTATCCAACACAAAAATAATTATTCAAACAGACTTGCAGTTACGGATATTAGCGCGTTCAAACAAACAAACAAACTCTCCCGCTTTAATAATAGTATAAGTAACATTCTATTTTTTCCATGACAATTATAAAATCTTACCTAATCTGTTGAGGTACTGACTGGGTCGTAATAATTTATTGTAACGATCTTCATAATCACGACTGAGATCAGACTTTACAGAATAAACTAACAGACAATTTCTAATTTAGTACCTGAAACATAAAAATATTCTAAGGGTGCGACATCTGGGCTATGAAAAGCGCAATGTAATAACAGGAATGCCATAGTTACTATAATTGAAATAGAGATGGCGATGACATGAACATTTTTTACAACTTTCAATTTAATTGGAACTAAACTAATTAGCTCCATAATTATTGAAAATATAACATGCAATATAAATTAACTATTTCACTTACTATAACATGAAATTCGAACCCATCTGCCCAGTTAACGGTATCCCGCACGTATCCCGATTTACAGAAGCAAGCACCCATCCCAAACGTGAGCCCGCAAACCAGAGAATCTGGCTACTTGTAAGTGAGTGGGCACACATATCCCACGGAAGAGGAACTCGTTAGGCCTACAGACCTCATCTTTGCCTGGAAAATTTATTACGTAGGACGACTTAAAATAGTTGAGAACGTAATAAATAAAAAATGTGTCGCAGGTACAAATGCTACGCAAGGGATGCTTTGATTATTATTGTCTTTCAACGTAACATCATGCCTTTTATCCCGAAGGGGTACGCAGAGGTGCACTTTACGGCACTTAATGCCACTGTACAATGTAACACCCACTTTTCACTACTTATGTTATGAGTCCCATGTAATAAGGGGTGGGCCTATTGCCATATACCGGGTACATTTCCAGGCTCCGTGCTACTACTGAGGTTTTTACAAACCCAGTAATACTTAGCCCGACCCGGGAATCGAACCCGAGACCCCTTGCCCGGCAGTCGTAATTGCGACCACTCGGCCAATGAGGCAGTCTTATCGTCTTTCAATTTCTTATATTCTAAGTAATATGATAATTATGAAAAATATAAAGGTTCAGGTTGCTTCTTCAGATAGAAACCCATTAGATCCAAAATGTCTAATCGCTAAAAGACGGCAACAACTTGTAACTTCTCTGGTGGTATAGGTGTACATGGGTGGCTTACCGTCATAGTATTCGTCTGATTCCTGTACTATAAAATAACCAGTGAAACGTAAAATCAATCAACACATTGATCCATAGTAGCATAGGTGTCCTCATCATCCCTCAGGCACCCAGACTTGCAGTAACACCCCTCGGCACAAGCGTCGGTACAGAGGACTGGCCCCTGAGGGTTCGAGCAGTTGAAGCCGCATACTTAATTTGGAGAACATTCTTCTGTAAAAAGAGGAGTAAATTTTTATGCAGATGAAATAAAAATCAGCGCCACGACTCGAGTTGTCGTTCTCGGGTCACGGTATTTCAGCTGAGCACTTGCCCTTTTGCGCCTTGCACACTTTTACCATTATTATTGTATTACTATTCTTTTTGTTTTTAATTTGTTACGGTGCGAATAAACAGTTTTTCTATCTTTCTTTCACATTTTATCACAAGAAGTATAGTTCAACTTAAAGCAAACAGCTACCAATATTTCATTTTCACAAGATGTAAAAAAGCACACACTAGGTATGTACTTAGGCGGTTTGATAAGTCAGTGACTTTTTTAATGTCTCGAGCAGTTATTCCAAATGCAACAGTGTTGTCGTCAACTGTAATCTGTTGGTGGGCAACTGTCAAATTTCTAGCAAGCATGGTGTTTGACGAAGCCGAACGTTCAGGTCGCCCAAGAAAAAGTGATCATGCCGGAAATCGTCACATTTTTTGGACAGATTCAACGTTGACTTGACGTAAAAACGACCGCATTTGGCGAAGAAGAAAGTGCAAGAAATGTTTTATTACAAAAGACACGGACTTATCAAACCGATATATTTCATAACAACCGCTTTTTGACGCCAATTTTCATCGTAGGTGTGCAAGATATAAATCGAATTGTACTAATGGATTCGATTTTCATTTTGTTATATTAATTCGACCATTCACGAGGAAATTTGGGAGTTACCTAGAAAGTTTCTCGGGAGTTGTGAAAATTGGCAATTTTGTAAATTTTTAAGTACTCTTTGCGATTTCCCTTTCGGAAATATTCCAAGTAGAATTGACAAATTACTAAACTACATGACATACCAAAATTCACGAGTTCCGCGCGGCCAATTTGAAGTATAACGCGTTAAATTGTTCCAAGAATAGAAAGATGAGAATAGTCATGGGTCCAATCCTGATGTAGGTGGGTATCATCCCACTCCAGAGAGCTAAAAATCCCTCTTTCTTTATAATATCGAATAGCACCCGGACCTGGCTCGTTGCACCCGACGAATTCTGTACTCTGAAATAATAGAATATTAATTAATTTGCGTTGAATATTTGCAACTATCGAGAATAAGTTTGTATCTGCGACGTCTGCCTTCGATGTCATTACTTTCAGTTACCCGTTATTTAGAATGGAAGTAACAAAATAACTTGAGAGAAGCGAAAAAACTAAACCCTGTGTTCTATCTTGCGTCAGTTATAACACTTAGAGGAGAAAATTTAAAGATCTAACTACCTATAATGGGGAAAAATCAGTAGGCACCTGGTTTTAACAATATCGACTGGCAAAGAAGCGACCGTAGTGTTGAACCCTGCAATCATAGCAGATAACGCATGTAGAGGTAAACCTTCACCCATATGTGGGAGGAGCATCTCTCGTGCCTGAAACAACGAAAGATTTATCTTCGTATCATCAACATCATCATCACAGGCGAGATAGTGGTCAAACATCGGCTCATCAACTATACAAAAAAACTGTTTCTGTTCTTAGAATAGGCCTCTCCAAACTTGCCGTATTACAGCCGTGGGATCTGGAGGCGAAGGTGCTCGCGCACGTTTTTGGTATGCGCGCGGAGGCACGTCGCCGGGGTGAAACTCCGCTGCCGCGCAAGATTAGTAAGTGGCGGGATGTGCGATCTCATGGCGGAATGGGAGCAACGACGGTCGCAACCGAGGGCTGGGTTCGCTGTCATTACAGCGGTAAGTCCCCTCTTTGAGGAGTGGCTTGAGAGACGCTACGGCGTCCTCACCTACCGCCTGACGCAGGTGCTTACCGGACACGCAAGTTTCGGTAGATTCCTGTTTCGGATTGGGCGGGAGGAAACGCCCGGGTGTCATGACTGAGAGGACCGCCCGGAGGATACGGTGGAGCATACAGTGGTGGTGTGCCCTGCATGGGTTGAGCACCGCCGTGTTCTCAGGTATGTGATCGGCGACGGCGAACTCTCGCGTCCGGCACTAGTTTAGACTATGGTACGGAGCGAAGGGGACTGTTTTGCCGTCTCCTCCTTCTGCGAAGTTGTCATGCTAGCTAAGGAGGAGGCGGGGCGCTTGAGGGAACGAACCTCCTCACCCCCAGCAGTCGCGGGAGACACTCCGGGTGTCGGGGATCGCCAGACGATCTCCGGCCACCGTAAGCATAGGCCTACGAGCGGGGAGTACGGGTGACTCGCCGTCCAACCAGAACTAGACCCGAGCGTACGGCGCGTTGCGTTCCGTGCACCTCAAAGAGCCATCAGTCCAGCACAGATGGGGCCTAATAGGACAGATGCCGATACGGAGCCGCGGAGGACTTAACGGGTTGCCGGGGCTCCGGCTCGAAGTGCTTGAGTAGGAACGAAGTGATTTTTAGTCAGTAAGAGTCTGACACCCCCTCTCGCCTCACCCGGGCAAGAGAAACTCACTGATTTTCTACTCTTATCTAAAATTTCTCGAAATTCATTTACATTATCATTGCCTCCTCTTCTATTATTCTCTGTTGGAATAACAAAATGTAACGAGACGCCCACTGCCTTCCCCAAGACTTGGCATCGATATATTGGAAGCAAACTGTATTCAGGAAACCAACAAAGACATTGTATGTATGTACCATCATAATTATGTATCATCACCAGCCACATTTATTTGTGCAAGGATTTTGTAATTTAATTTTAATGTGATAAATATCTTACCTGCGAGTACGAGCCTAATTGAGCACCGTTAAATACCATAGCTCTGCTTACTGTAGCACCTGCGCCTCTGTACAGCGTAAATAGACCTTCTTCCCGAACTATTCTAAACAAAGTTAAAACTTGTTGTTAACTGATGTACCCTTCATGTATCATTCCGCATACATCTCTACTGACCTGCCTAAAGCATCGAACACATTTTTATAGTTCCTTCTTTTCTCCGGTGGTAGTCTTCCATCTGCTGTCATCCGGACGAGTGCGACATCGCATGGGTTGCCAATCAATGCGCCGGCCCCTCCCGCAAGCATGCCCATCAGTATTTTTATTGGAAACGTTGGGTCACCGCGGTTACTGGAATATTAGCTTTAATTTATTCCTGATTATTGTGCGTTATCAGTGAAAATACTTATTATAAAAGGGTGTTTTGTTTAAAAGGAACAAAAGTAACGAGATCGAGTGAATTCATCGTCATCATCACCGTCATATCATTAACAAACTGATGAACTATGCCTCTCCCAATGACTTCTAGATCTACCGATAGAATGCGGTTGGTATCACCAACATTAACCATGTGGGCAATAAATGTGGTAAATACGTCAATGACCTCATTATCTCTAAAACCTGTCTTCACAAATTAAAACAATGCAACTCACATTGCGTGTATATCGAACATAACCTTAAAAAAACCGAGTCGAGCAGTCGTATAAGTAGCCTGTCGAAGTAGTGCGGCCGATATTCCGGTGTAGAATCCCAACATGCCTTCCTTCTTTAATATTTGTTTAGCCACAGCAAAGGCTGACATATTCTGTCCAGTCGGCCCGAGGAGTTGCATCCGAGTCTTCAGTAAATCAGCTGGCTGTACCACGCATATGGCCAACATGCTGTGCAGTAGAAAACTATCTGCATACATATGTATGTAAATGTATAAATTGTGGGTATGAAATGGAAAAAATAAAAATGTTTGGAAATTATTTGGTTATCCTTCGTTGGTAGCATAGTAGTAATTTAGGTCGGTGATAACAGTCTAAGTGTGGGAGAAAGTCATACACTTGCACAAATAGGCTAATTTGATCAGAATGACAGTGACATGCATCATTGTTTACAGCATTGTTCTCACAGATACGTACAATACTGGATAATGTATCAGAGAGATTGTAAAACATATTGTTTTTTTTAAAAGACTATAACGAATAGAGTTTCCTGCTCGTTCTTCTTCATTCGAATGAGCACTTAGCTTCACTGGTGGACAGACTGACAGACTATTATTTATTTTGTATTTGTTAACGTTTCAAAAGTATCTACCAAATTATGGTTCGATTGAAATAAATGCTTTGACTTTGACTGATAAAAATCAGTATAAATCAACGCTTATATTTAGCAGTGTGAGTGAGGATAAAGGACGATACGTTTGGTGTGAATGATGCCTTACAAACTAGTTACCGTAATCAGAGTCATTTAAGTAGGTAATGGTTACGTTACCCAGTCGTTACTTGTGTTTTACGGAACTGAACACAATCGGTTTTAAGAAATAGTTTGAGTTACCACCAAATGCCTCTGAGAACGACGGTAAACCTCTCGAACATTCACCCGCTTACACCTCCTATTAGGAAATTCACCCATTTCGGCATGATTTCTTGATTTTTCTTGACCTCCTTACTATTGGCCATTTAAACGTTAAATTAATTTGTGGGTACATAAAAATTTTGTTAACCAAAAATTGTTTGTTAAACACTAAAAATTTTTACTAACACATATCAGTATTGATTTTTTGTCAAATGATTGACTGTGTCATTGTGGTGACAGTCAATGTTTTTTTCTTTCGCAGTAGTTAGCAGTCAATCATTTTTATATTTGTTAAGTAGTTTCAGAGTAACCTCTTTACATATTAATCTTGTGTGAGCCTACCTACCTATAGTAAGTAGCGACATCTGTGCTACGAAGAGTACAATATAATAACAACAATGCCGTAGTTAGTACTACAATTTAAATAGAGATGGCCATAGTATAAAAATAGGACGTGATAATATTTCTTATCAGAACTTTTAATTTCATTAAAATTCAAAAATATTTATAATACGTTTAACATGCAAATTATTATAAACTCCATCTTATTCAATAACATGAAATTCGTTTTTGATGCGGTATGGTACCGCCATCTATGATTCACCAACGTAAACTGTTCAAATGTCACAGGCGAGTAAAAGTTTTCATCTGTACAATAGATGGCGTCATTAGTTAAATTCAAAGAGTAAATATAGGAAAAGATTAGGGACTATTAAAGTATTTAAGTAAAACTTGTATAAATGTTTATATATGAACGGGCTTAATGTCGTAAGCATTATCCTCCAAACGATCTTTAAAAAATTCAAATGCCGTTTTTAAGTAGTATAGTCAAATAAAACTTAAAAAAAAAACAAATAAAATGTAGTAACATCGTTTAATTATTCTCTAATCCTTACAAATGTAGAATCTTATTAATAACATTCATATATTGTGACAGGCACCGTCTGTGTAGTTTCCACATTTATCTACACTCACGCACTCGCCGGCGGAGTTGCGCAGGAGTCCCGAGGCGCACACGCAGCCACCCTTGCAGATTCTAGTACAAATCGGCTCTGGATCATCGCAAGATGGCTCGCAAGCACCGTTGCATAAATCGTAGACTTCATTTTGATTCAAGCATTGCTCTATAAGGTTTAAAAGATATTTTTAAAATAAAAATATTTCAAAGGGTTCAAGTCTGATTACAGGTTAATCTACTATATAAAAATAAGTCGGGTTTTCCTTCCTGACGCTCTAACTCCAGAACGCACGAACCGATTTCCACGGTTTTGCATTCGTTGGAAAGGTCTCGAGCTCCGTGAGGTTTATAAATATAAAATAAAACAAAAAAAAACTTCATCTTTGAATCGCCAAACGAAATGTTACATAAAACGAAGCGGTGGTGAAACGGAGTCCGCCGGGTTTGCTAGTTAGGTATAAAACTACGACTTCAAATAATAGGATAGAGCAAATAACTCCAACATGGATATGAAAACCAAGACTTCAAGATATTATTATATGAACTAAGAAATGCTACCTTCTTTTTGCTTCTTTACTTGTTTGAGTCTCACACATAACTCACAAGTTAACTCAATGTTATTTGGTAAAACTCACAACAAGATGTTGTTGAACATAAAAAAATACCAAATCACTCACCAACAGGACATTGATCGGGCGTAACGCATTTGTCGTTAGCGGTATCCCGCACGTATCCAGATTTACAAAAGCAACCCATACCGCATGCGAGCCCGCAGACTAGAGGCTCTGGCTGCTTGCAAGTGAGTGGGCACACTGTCCCACAGGATAGGAACTCTTCATTAGGCCCGCAGACTTCGTCCTTGCCTGGATAATTTAGGATAATATTATGAAAGACTCGTTATAACATAGAATATATTATAGGAATAGAATATGAACAGACTTATTATGAATGTGTTGCGTAATTATGTATTACTAGCTTTTACCCGCGGCTTCGCTCGCGTCACTAAAGAATAAAAAGTAGCCTATGTGACATATACCAATACACACAGCGCCATCTATACCAATACTTTTGTTTTCCCTCGGGAATATCAATTTTTTCCGGGCTAAAAAGTACCCTATTATTTAATCCGGACTTCTAACTTTCGGTTTGCAAAAATTCAAAGCAATCGGTTGAGTAGTTACGGCGTTAAAGTGGAACAAACAAACAAACTCACTTTCCCATTTATAATATAATTTCCCATTTATAATAGTAAGGATATAAGTAAGGATTACTAAGGACTAGTTAGGATAAGGATGAATGAATGTGTTGTAACATAGAATATATTATAGGAATAGATTAGGAACAGACTTATTATGAATGTGTTGCGTACGAGTAGGATTAAATTAACTAATGATTAATCTACTCTGTCTATTGAGTAGACTGCGGCTGCGCGACATCTCCGGCCATGAGGAAGAGTCCCTTTGCGTCTCGAAATAAACTAATTGCTGTTAAACAGGTCCTAGTATAATACCAAAGAAGTCAAGACATGCCTGCGGACATTTTGATAAAGCTTTCAGTAGAGCGATGGGTCTGCGTTCAGGAGAGAATGTTGGATGAAACGAATACATGCGCAGCGCCTAATACAATTCAATAGCAATACGCACATATGCATATATGTGTATTAAATTCTGTAGGCTCTTCCTTCTACGTTTGACAATTTCATATAGCTTAGTTACTATTGTATAGATTAAAATAAATAGTTTTCTACAGTTTAAAAAGTCTTGGTCTTTTCTTATTTCATTAGAGGTTTTCTTGTTATATTCACGTAAGTAAACCGTATTTTTTAATTAATTCAGTATGTCTCACGGTACTTATTGTAAAAACATAGGATTAAATTCTTAAACAGCTGACTATTTGTATATTTTCAGTATAACATAACCATAGATATAGTAAAGAATATTTCTGTGAACATAACTACAGTTCCGTTTAATGTGATCTTAATATTAGTAACAAATCTACATTTCGCTACTTATAAGTTCCATGTTCCATGTATGTAAGAGGGACATGTATGTAACCTTTTTACTTATTAACTCCCAAGAATTTTTGAAATCTCAAAATAGGTTGTTAATGGGATGACGTACTCCATCGTAGACCGCATCATCGCTTACCACCAGGCGAGATAATGGTCAAACGTCGGCCCACCATATATAGTATATAAAAAAAATTGCGTTCCCTTACCCTTGCATCAAATCATACTACACAATAGACATGCCCAACACAGCATTTAAACAATAAATACTAAAATAAACATACCAACACACTGATCCATAGTAACACAGGTACCGTTATCATTCCTCAGGTACCCGGACTTGCAGTAACACCCCTCAGCACAGGCGTCGGTACAGAGGACTGGCCCCTGAGGGTTCGAGCAGTTGAAGGGGCACGCAGAGCCGCATAGTAAATACTCTTCATTTGGTGGACATTCTTCTGTGAATTGATAAATAAAATTCATTCGGGGAGGATGTTGAACAGTGGAAGTCTTTGGGCGAATATGATAATGATGAAGTAACATGAGAAATTGTTGTAAAATATTTTTTTATGACATAAGCCGGTAAACGAGCAGATGGATCACCTGTGGGTAAGCAATCGGCGTCGCCCATGGACACCTGGAACAGCAGAGGCGTTACAAATGCGTTACCGGCCTTTTGGGGATTGGGAATTTGAGGATTGTGGAGGATTCGGGGATTTGGGAGACGGGGACTAGGGTAATTGGGCCTCATTCGGGGAGGATGTTGAAGAGTGGACGTCTTTGGGCCAATGTGATAATGATGATGAAGTAACATGATAAAAATTGTAAAATGAATGAAATCTAAGGCGTCTACAGTGCAAGTGGAGTAATCGCTTATATTCTATCACAAGTCCAGTTTAACTTTAGGATATTTAACATTAAAAAGTATGCATTTTACTTCCTGTAGACGTAAAACAGCGCACATACTAACTAGTAAGTGTCTAGATACATACAATTCGACACCAAATATATATTTAAAGCCCGCTGTTAATATTTCAAATGACTCCAATTCCATTAATCAATAAAATTTTTTTAAAGCGTTGCCCCACATTATTATTTTCTCCTGTGTCGTGGGTGCGTTTACAAACATACAAGTTCACATACACAATGACACTCAGACCCGAAACATCAATTTGTGAATCACACAAAGTGTTGTTCCGTGCGGGAATCGAACCCGCGACACGTTGCACGGTAGCCGGTTGCCCAGCCACCGGCACCGCATAAAACGTGCAGTCGCAATTTTGCATGAAAACCAACACATTCGCATCAAAAACACGCTCTAAAACTGAAAACAAATACCACCCAAAAAATGTAATTACCATCCCCAATTATGAGCCCAATTAATCTAAAAATCGTTAGAAATCATTAGCCAAATGATTCAATGGTCGTTGATCATTTTAAACAAACTCACTCGAGCGAGAGATGCTCAAAAAATAACTCGGAAATCGTTCACAAAACGATTCTCAATTGCTTCCACATAAAAAGTTCGCCGCAAAATTAATTGGTTTCATTACACTTGACTTACTAATTACCTTTCAATGCCGTTCTTTATTCTTTATACTGATTGGAAACATTCATTCAGGTATTGCTATGATTCCACTAGTTATGTGACTGTTTTATGTATGTGTATTTGCAATCGGTCTCTTGACATGAGCAAATTTTTATATGTCATTTGACTTGTAGACGAATCTCTCTAGTGAATTTTGGTGGGTGAACATGAAAAGGTGAACCCTATTTAATTTGACTTTCAAAAGTATTTCCTTACGGGTCTCTAGACGATGGAGCCTATAATTATTATTTATTAAAACACGTAACCACCATGTGACGTAAGCATCAAATTCAATATGGTTCTGAAAAGACAATCGATGTCATCGTGCTGTGTGCCACATATTAAATATATTTCGATAAAAAAAATGTTCAAAAGATTTGAAAATACAAGTTAATGAATTAAATTTTATGAAGATTCGTATGATGAGTTTACGGACAAGTCGATTGCAAATTGTGAAACGTTTAGTGTGGATCCTAGACTGTTATTTTATTCAAGAAATATCTTTTTAGATAGATAATGAAGTTAGCTGCATTAGTTGCTGTAATATTGA